GGGTGCTGGCGGTGGCGCGCGACCCGGAACTGACCGCCGCGGGAAAGAAGCGACCCCGGCCCGGGATTGGCGGCCCGGAGCTGGGGACCGGTGAGTAGGGGGCGCCCGGTGAGAAATGCAGCAAAGCAGCAGTCACACACGCGCCCCGGGGTCCGGGCGACCGAACGCGGCCGGGCCGCGCGCGGGGCGGGCTCGGGAGAAGGGTGAAGTTCGCCGCGTCCTCCCTCCCAGTCTAATCCTCCTGCTTGCTTGGGCCTCCATTCGCTCCTTCCTCGTGGGTCTTCCTCGCTTTCCAGTTTCCAACTCAGGCACCGATCCATTCTTGTCTCTAGAGGCAGAAGTAAGCGGGCCCAGATGACGGTCTCGTTTCTTGGAGCCGAGTAGACGGCCAGTCTGGTTCCACCATCAAAGTCATGGTGGTTTTTTTTTTTTTTTAATTTGGTCAGAATAAACCGGTTTAGCCACGTATACTTGGAGCTGTGCATTCACTCCCTCTTCCAGCCCGTTAGCACATTAGCATTTTCCCTGCTGCTTTTCTCCCTATATGGCCTTTAAAAAGCGTGTAAATTTATCTTAGTGGAGCAAATGCAAGGCAAACTCCCAGTATATTCCAGATTTTGACACCACATTCATTCATACTTACAACGAATATCACTGTCAAGGACTGTGCCTGAGCCTCCTGTTTAGCTGTTAGCTAAAACCATAATCCCTAGAGTGTCCCCCACCCAGTTTTAAAGAATCAGCTTTTTTTAAAAAATAGACTTTTTAAATATTCCTCAAATTGCAATTCTTTTTTTTTAAAAGTCTTTATTTTCTAGAACATTTTTAGATGTATAGAAAAATTGTGATGATAGTACAGAATTCCCATATACCCCAAACCTGTTCCCCATTCAACATCTTACATTTGTATAGAACGTTTGTTAAAATTAATGAGCTATGATGAATATGTAAAATCACGATTGTACACTATAATTGGTTAACATACATAATGTATTCAGATTTCCTTTGTTTTTACCTAAGTACTTCTTCTGTTTCATGATCCCATCCTGGTTACCACATACCAACTACTTTTCATAATGCTCCGCTTGGCTGTGGCAGTTTCTCAGATTTTGTTTGTTTTTAATGATATTGAGAGTTCTGAGGAATACCCACCACCTATATTATATAGGCTGCCCCTCTTGGAATTCGTTTGTGTTTTTCTCCTAAGACTGGGCATATAGGTTACTAAGGGGAGGACCACAGAGGCAGATTGCCGTTTTCATCACTTCACATCAAGGGAACATGCTTTATGGCTTGATGTTGACCTTGATCACCTGGCTGAGATAGTGTAACTATTCCCCACTCCTACCCCTCATACTGTACTCTTTGGAAAGTAGTCAAATTATGTGCAGCCGAACCTAAGGAGTGGGGAGTATGCTCTTCCTTCCTTAAGGGCAACTCTGTACATATATTATTTGGAATTTTTCTTCATGGAAGATGTGTATTTTTCGCCTTATTTATTAACTTACTTAGTCATTTTTTTGTATCACTGTGGGCTCATGGATATTTATTTTATAATTTGGGTTATAATCCAGTACTACATCATTTTGTTGCAACTTTAACCAGTGGGAGCTCTTTGAAGTTGGCTCCCCTGCTCCTTTCTAGCATATATTTCTATAGATCTTTTTGCTGTTGAAAACACTTTCACTTATGTGACCTTGCTTGAACTTCAAACAGCCCAGCGAACTTGACAAGACGTTGTTATTCTTACCTCGTTAAGCAGTAAGGAAAGTGAGGCCCAAGAGCAACAGATGACTTCTTAGATGCCACTTACCCCAAAGGGAGTGACAGGCTATGCTCAGACTGGGGTGACTGCTACAGAAGACACTGAACTGCAGAAGAGAGACTGAGTTGAGGCTTTTTGGGGTGACTTCAGACTTAGACCTCCCCAGGACCAGAATAGAAAAGACACGGAGAAGGGAAGAAAGGTTTTGGAAAACAAAGGCTTAATTTGGCTGGCAACCAGGGTGAATTAAAACTTGCCAGTTTGGTAGAAATGCAGTGTTGACCTTTCCCCAACACTATATGTTGATCTGGGTAATGTTTGTGGCTAGGAGTGACTAATCTGAGGGGAGCCCTTGGAGCCTTCTGCTGAAGCAAGATTGTAAAGTGGGAAGGGGAGCGTGGTCGGGGAGAATGAAGATGATAAATGGGGCTCTGGAATCATGGGATAGCATTTAGTCCCTGAACATTTACAGACTTTGTGCCCGACACTGGAGATATGAAAAGATCAGTGAGATGTGACCCATGGGTTCACATTCTGGATGGAAGAAAGATGGGTAGAAGTATCAATTAGGAAGCGGTGTGACAGTGCTGTGATAGCATTAATAATGTAGTGCAGTGTTTGCAGGAGCTTCCTGAGGGAGAGATTCATTCAGCTTGGAGGTGGGATGGGCACAAGAAGTACCTCATAGATAAGGGGGCAGATCTGATTTGAGCTTTGAAGGATAAGCTGGGACTGAGTAGATCATGTACTAGAGCGAGGGTGGGATTGGGGGCGGTGAAGAAGGAGCTGTCTTTCCAATTCAGTGTATCTAGCATTAGGCTGAGGTAGGATTCCAGGCTAGATGGGTAAGTGGGGGCCAGATGATAGGGGCCCTGCTGTGCAGTTTTGACCTCAGTTAGGAGTTTTGAAGCAGGAGAGTGACTGGATGAGATCCATGTGTTCGCTGATCCTGGCAGGCTTTGCTACATTTCATCGAATCCGAGATGTCATCATTTATTTTATGTTCCACGTAGAAAAAATGTCTTGCTAGTTAAATTATGGCATGCCAGTAATCACATTTCAAAGATGCTAACATATAACCACAAGGGTATCTCAAATTTGGTGAAAAGTGGTAACTCCCTAGCTGGAGGCTTAGGGCCTTCCTTTCTCCAAGGAATGAATGGTTAGAATATCTCTATTCCACTCACTCATAGATGTTGAGTTCACTTGAAGAAACTAAATTTGATAAACTGACTTTTTCCTGCCTGACAGCAGATTGTAAAAACAAACAAACAATAAAACTGGGATGCCTGATCCAAGGATTTCGTCTATGTTTATTATGCCTTAGTGGCTCTTGATTACAGTAGTGACTATGTTGCACAGTAAATATGCTGATGCACTTGCCAAACCTTTATTTCAGTTTGTCCTGTGAATCACTTGGATGTGTCCTCCCAACTGCATTTCTTCATGGTTATATTGAGACCCAGAAAGGTCAAGAATCTAGCCCCGACCTGCACAGCAGAGTAGCTGAGGCTGGGTGATAATCTGGATTTTCATGCCAACCCAGGACTCTTCACTGAAGGCTTTGGTTAGAATGGCAGCTGGGGTGGAAGAAGATTCACAATTTCTAGGCGTTATGGAGAGGGGCCGTGATGGCTGAGAGCAGGTTGGAGATTTGTCATGTCCTGGCAGGTCATATTCTACCTGTGGGGCCCAGAGAGAGAACAGACCTGCCACTTGGTGTCTACCTTGGCCACAAGACATTGTCTAAATAAAGAGACTGATTTTCCTGCATAAGCTCTTTGTATATTTCAGCCTAATAACTTTCAACAACTTCCTCTGCTATATATGGTAGCGTTTTTTTGTTTGTTTGATTTTTTGCAGATAATAGACAAGTCCAAGCTGGCTGGGCAGAAAAGGCATTTATTAGCTCCAAGGACACAAAAGTCCAAGGGTAGGCTAGCTTCAGGCACAGCTCGATACAGGTTTCACTAGATGCCATCAGGACCTGGTTTCTTTCACTTTATCCCTGGGTTGGCTTCATTCTCAAACATGCTAACCCTCTGGCTAGCTGTTCTAGCAGCTCCAAACCATATGACCTCACTTCTTGAAAGGTCTCGAGAAAAAGTTTTCAAGAATCTTTTTTTGGCCCCTTTTCTCAGCTAGGTCTCCTTGTTACTGGATGTAACTGAATCATGTTCTTACCCCTGAAACAAGCACTGTGGCCAGGGGTGCTTAAGGCTCATTCTCTTGCTCCACCCTTGAGCTGAGAAGGAGCTCCACCCTGACCACATGATCCCCAGAAAGGAACTGGGTAAAGTCGGCAGGAGAAGGAAGAATGAAACCCGGCAGACCCCCCCCCCAAAGATAAACATTTACAGCAATTATTCGTTGAATTAAGGGCACAGTATCTGATTTACTGCTGTAGGGCTGATTCCCTGGCCTGTTACTGGGCCTTTCATGCTGTTTCTTTCTATTATTTTTTTTAAAGCATTAAATACACACACACACACAATGGGATTCTATTTCTCATTCACTAGATAGGCAGTTTTTTTTTTTTTAGAGTATAAAGCATCTATTACTTAACTTTTAAAAATTGAGGCATCATTGACATGTTAGTTTTAGGTATACAACATAAAGATTTGGTATTTGTGTATATTGCAAAATGATCACAATAGTCCTATGAACATCTGTCACCATAGTTTCAAAATGTTTTCTTCTTGTATTGAGAGCTCTCAAGAGCCACTCTCCTACGTGCTTTCAAATATGCAGTACAGTTATTTACTATAGTCACTGTGGTGAAAATGTAAAAGGTGACAATATCAGGTGTTGGTGAGACCACGGAGCAGCGTGGGTGCTTGTAGCCTGCTGATGGGGACATACACTGGTACAGCCGCTTTCGAAGCAGTTTGGCCTGGTACAGTCCAGTTGAGGATGCATCCTACTTGCCCGTATTTACTAGGGCACTTGAGCAGAAATGTTTACAGAGTAGTGTTTGCGATTGTCCCAAACTGGTAACAACTCGGGGCCATGAGAAGTAGGCTACATCAGAAGTAGAATTATGTAATTGTCAGAAACAAAATCGGCTCACAATCACATGAATGAACCTTACAAGTGTGATGTTGGCAGCCCCTCCCCCCTCCAAATGCAATATGATTCCACTCATTTGAAGCTCAAAACCAGGAAAATTAAGCTGTATTGTTCATGGGTGCATACCTAGTACAAAACTGAAGAAGAGGGAAGGAGCGATTATCACTGTTAATAATTTATTCCAAAGCAACCGTTTCCTGGGACACAGCTTTTTCTTCTCTCCTGGTTTCTGTGCGTTCCTGGAGCCAAACCTGGG